GCTCAGGTATGGGACTGGCATAATAGCACTGAAATCCAACAGGATCAATATGCTTGCTTGCAATTAAAGCCCTTGGATACATCCTTTAAAAGCTCATATGAGGCAGGCATGAGAGGCACATGTGTTTGTCCATCTAAAGGTCAGCTCTCAGGCTCAGTAATGCACTCAGGCAAGCAGATGCAGCTCCCATCCACACGAATTGCTGATGTATTAAGTGTGCCCTCAAGGCCTCCTGCTGAAGGCAATGGCAAACATCCAGTTGATTTAACAGGATTAGCTGTCATGGATCACGTTGAATTGCGACATGTTGGAAGGAACCTCATCTGAAAGTTTTGTCCTTTGTAATTTTGATTTTTTTTTTTCCTCCAGCTGGGTTGACCTGCACCTGCTTGTGGCCAGAACTTGGTGCCTTTGTGTTTGTTCCTGGAGCTCTGCCTCCCCACAGGTGGTGGTAGCAGGGAGGAGGAAGGAGAAAAGTAGGGCAGGACAGTAGAGCAGGGAGGGCTTTCTTCTGCAGCTGTAGATTTGCAGATGTCTAGGCAAGAAGGAGGCAGTTTTCTGCCTTCAGGAAAATGGGTAACTACTTGGCTCAAAATGTTTTATGTCTTTTTCAAGCAGGAATTCCCAGAATCATGCCTTTCACCTGGCCTACTTCTATAGCACCGTCCTGGGATGTTTGTTAAGGCAGCAACCATGGCCCATAGCTAACAGCAAGCCTTTGTTAAGGACAAGCTGGAGTTGCAGCTTTGCCTGCCTCTCTGCACCGTGGGGTGATGATGTGTGTAATAAACGAGGCCCAGACTTTCTAAGAAAGTTCACTTCGTTTTATTAAAGAAAAACATCAGAGGTGGGAACCCAGGATAAGCCTGGGCCCCACTCGACAAGCCAGACAAACAACTAACTGTGCAGTGCACAGGGAGCTGGATCCCAGCTTCCCAAGGAGAACCAGGTGCTGAGCACCTGGGCAGTCTTTACAGCCTTGTCCCCTCGTGGATTGGTGCGTTGTTGAATCCTCGCTTTGGTTGCTCCTCTTCCTGGCTGTTGGTTGGTCCATACTGGGGTGTGCAATCTTGACCAAGCATTTTGGGATACTCGGACCTTATAGGCTGGCTCGTCATCCAGCCATGGTTCAAGTTGCTGTCCTCACCCCATTGGGTAATGCTCCAGAATGGTCCCTTCATCCAACCAACTGAACACCCATTATTCCCAAAGGGAATAATGCCAAAAGGGCAGTCCTGCATCCTTGCCTTGCTCTCACTGCTCATTCTCGCTGTCCCCTTGTACAGACAGTCATGATAGGACAGCTGAAAGGCAGATGGGAAAATATACCTTTAAAACAGGATATATGCATTTGCTCTGTTCACTGTCAGGTTTTCTATTGGTAGTTTATTTTGTCTGCCCAAGAGATGGACTGGAGTGGTAAACCAGGTGGTGAAGAGGAAGTGAAGGTGGTGGTGGTGGCCTTTTTGGGAGCAGCCAGAACCTAGATAGACTTAAATTGATTCTGAGTGCACTTGTCTGCTAAAATCTCGTCCTTTTTGCAAAGCTGCTACCTCATTCTGCATTGCTGTAACAATTTTGTTAAAGGTGTAATTACTGTGATAGCTCTACAGGGAAAAAAGATGGGGCATTGTCCAGTGGTAACAGAGTGTAAGATTTAAAAATAGTGTATTTATGTTCAATCTGATTTTTGCAGAGATAGTTTATAAAATCTTGATAATAGGTGTGTCTAGTGGATATTTTCCATTAACCTATGGGTGAACTATAAAAAAATCCCATTTTCTAATCAGCCTTTTTTAAAAATTGAGAATGACTTGTAGGAGAGCAAATCCGTAGTGAGAAAACCTCACTTGAACCTATGCCAGAAATGCTAGTGAAGTTTTTTTTTTCCCCTGAAAACTTATATTACATAAGATTCTATTGAGTTTGTAGAGACAATTAGTTTCCTGCTCTTTCCTCTAAAAAAATAATAATCTTGATTTTTCTTTCATTTTCTCTATTGTATTTTCAAGAGACATAAAGCACTTAAAAATGCAACATAAACCAGGAAGTTTATATTCCACCACACTTTGTGTTGTTTAATAGAATTAATCACTGTATAATTGAAATCATGCTAATACTCCCTTGACCTGCCTCTGTGATTCAATGCAGAGATTTCTGATTTGTCTTAAGCTGCTCTGAGGAAGACTGTGTTTTGAGAAATAAAATTGATTTTGCACAATCTGCTGATGATCAGCCAGGCTTAATGAGTGATCGCCTCAAGAAAACTCATTTAAGTAATTTGGATGGATGAGCAGGAGTGAAATGCAAAAAGAAGAAAACATAGTTGCTGCTTGAATGCATCACTTACTGATATTTGACTCTAAAAGTATCCAAAGCCAGCATAAGGAAGGGATCAGATACCCTTGCTTTACTTTCCTTGACACTTCCCAGTTAGTTTGATTCCTTTGGGGAATAAAGAAGATAAGTTTTTTTTATTTTAGTAGTATCTATTCTGTTAAAGTGCAGTAATTTCATTCCTAGAAGTGTCATTGTATCAATTTTATAAATTGTGGAGGATTCCAATCCATTATTGTGTATTTTTTTCATTTTTTCAGGATAGTTTAAAGAAGTCATTGCCTTGAGGCTGTGAATTGGGTGATTGCTGAAGCCTTTCACTTATGCAGAATCTTCTGGTTAGCTCTTAGCAAAAGTGAGAGTCTCCTGGTCAGCCTGGTTTCAACTGTTCACCTCACAAAACTTTTCTGTGACCGACACAGTATGGTGAGCATTTAAGAGAGACTCTGAAATAAGGTAGGTGGGAAGCAGCAGAAAGCAAAGTGGAATGAAAATGAAAAATACCAAAGCCTTGATGGGTTGAGATAAGATTTTGAACAGCCTTCTTTTACCATCCATCCTAACCATATGTTCAGTTCCAGGGATAGTAGATATTCCCCACATACCATCTTCTGTACTTGCTTTTATTTAGGGCCATGCTACAGCACCAGGCAGTTCTTGAAAATGACTGAAAACAGGGAACAGGTAGTTCTGGCTGCCAGTCTCTCCTCTCTGTTATGTGAGAGAGAGGCTGTTTTTCTGACAGAACCTAGGCTTTCATTAGGACCTAGCTGGTTTTTGCTCTCTGTGAGGAAATGATTCTGTAGACCTCAATAACAGCTGTGCAAAGGAGTATCTGAAGTGAAGTTTCCCAAATTCTGTAGGAAGTAGAAGCTGCATAGCAGAGTTAGAATTGAGATATGTGATTTTGGTACCACCTGGTGTGGGTGCTGAATCTCAGGCAGGTGATCTGGTGGCTTTCACAGGGAAAACTGTCATGCAGCTGGTTAAAGGTATGACTATGCCCCCAAATTCCATCTTAGTTTTCTGGTTTCCTATGGCATTATAGAGTGAATTAATCTAAGATTTGCTGTCAGCCCTCTACCAATCTTTTTTTAAATCATTGAAATTCTTGGTGAATCATTTTTTTAATGTTACTGGGAATAATATTTCTTTGCTCTTCCTTTTGAGAATGTTTTAAAGTTTATTTTGTTAGTGTTTGTAAGGGAGTTGGAGATACTAGACACCAGACTCCAAAGAAAAACAAAAAGTTATTAACTTTTTCTTGATTAGATATATATATTTTTTCTTTTATAGTAGCCTTACAAATCGCAGCACTATTTCAAGTCATGATTTTAATAACTTAAAGAATAGAAGGCACTGCTTACCTCTCAAAGCCCTGTAATATACATAAACAACTCTGAGAGTCTTGTGAGTCATACTCTGCTTGGTCAGTCCACAAAAAGATTAATAATGGTTGGATTTTTGTAAAACATCAGAAAACTTAGATTTTAGGTCACGTAGGTGTGCATGCATTTTGATACCTTCAGAACATTAGTCTTCCTTGAAAGCAGGCAATGCAATAAATTTAGAGTTTTTTGTTAGAAGTCATGCTTCTTTTTCTTTCTGGTCTCCAAACAATTATTTTTCGATCTTATTTAACTTCAGTATCGAGTTGGCAGCCTTTCCTTAGTATTGTTGAAGTTCTGCTGAAGATTTAAGCTTTCATTCTCAAAATTCACTTCTTAGTGTTGTGGTAAATCAAGAGAGGAAACAGGAACACGTGCAAATCAAGCACTTAGTGCATAATGCGTTCTTGCATCTTGATCAGGTTTATGTGTTCAAACTGATTCTATTAGTGTGGACCTATATGTATAAAAAATAAGTAATATGGGTAAGTGCTTAGCATCATGGAGCTGTTAACATACATTTACACAGATGAGTTAGGGGCAAGGGTAACTTCAGCAGGCTTTACTGGGGGCTGTTCAGGACCACCACCTGTAGAGTCTGGTGAAGTGATGAAGATGGGCTGCAGAGCTGTTGCTGTGTGATGGAGAGTGGAGCTTCCTTCCTTCAGCTCTCAGCATTTGTTCCTTTTTCAAGAGTGGTCCTCACATTCCTGTGTGGCTGTCCAGCTGCAGCATGCTCTCCCTGTCCAGTGTGCTGCCTCAGCACACACACAGAGACACACAAACACACACGTGTCATTGTGATTTAACGTGTGGTCCAAAATCCGAGTTTGTGGCTTTGATGGTGCAGTGGGTGGTGCACCTGGAGATGATGGATTCAGTGCAAAATTTGAAAGTGCACATGTGTCCTGGTTGTTAAATGCAACATGCTGATGAGGGGTGTCACTATTTCTGCAAAAAAGGCCGGGGTTGAAAGACTGAACAATTTAAGGGAATGAACAACACCAAGAGAAGCTGGCATTTATATGGCCCATATTACTCAACGTCATACATTTCAAGCATCAATGATCACAATTTCTTCATGTGTACTTAAAATTTCTATGCCCATGTGAATTTTGGGAGAGATGCTGAGTAAAGTTCCATTGATGAGATCAGGACTTCACAAGGAGAGAAGAAAAATTATACTCTCTAGTGCCCATCTATGTGAACTGGGGACTTTTCTGTTGATTTGTTTTCTGCCTGCAGGTATATATAGCTCTTTTCTTTCTATTGCAGAAGCAGCCTACAAAAAACAGATATACCTGTTCGACTCTCGAGGTGTGGATGATCATGGGAGAGCAACTGTTAAAGAACAGCATCCTTGATCAATTTATTAATAGCCATGAGCAGTCTTATGAAGAATTTCTAAATACATTCACATATCTTTTGAAAGGTATGTAATTTCCCAAATCTCCTGTTAGATAACCACAGACAGAAGGAAAGGTAAAAAGAGAAGCAGTGGTATTATTGTTGTTGTGCTACTCACCTGCTCTGTGACTTTAGGCAAATCCCTCTGATACTTTTGTTTTTCCACTCAGCAGTGGGAACCCTGAGGACAACTTTCTGCAGTTGGTTCCCAGGCTGCTGTGTCCCTCCCTGCAGGTGGTTAGCCATTTATGCTTGCTTTAGGAAGGCAAGGGGAACATGCACTGTTTGGAAGGATAGATCTTTCCTACGTACATCTTGCATTGTTTTGCTTGAGAAGTCTCCATAAAAGAAGAGCCTAAGGAAAATACTTAATGGTGTGAGATGGCCTGAGATTAAGAGTGTGCAATTTGGGTACTTTTACAGGTTTACTAACATTAGCCCACTGTGCTGAGCCTGTGTGTGTGCATTCCACAAAGTGATTGCCTTCTATGATGAAGCAACGACCTGGAGGGATGCACATATTGTCTAAATTGATTTCAGCAAGGCTTTCAACACTGTCCTTCACAACATCCTTGTAGGCAAACTCAGGAAGTGTGAGCTGGGTTAATGGACAGTGAGGTGGGATGAGAACTGGCTGAGTGTCTGATCCCTGAAGGTCCTATCAGTTGCACAGGGTCTGCTTGGAGCCCTGTCACTGCTGGTGTCCCCCAGGGTTCAATACTGGCCCAGCCTTGTTTACCAAATTCATCAGTGACTTGGAGGAAGGGGCAGAGGCCTCCCCAGAGAGTTCCCTGCAGACACAAAGCTGGGAGGAGTGGCCCAGAGGGCTGTGCAGCCCTTCAGAAGGACCTCGACAGGTTGGAGAGATGGGCAGAGAGGACCTTCTGAAACTCAACAAAGGCCAGTGCAGGGTCCTGCTCCTGGGCAGGAACAGCCCCATGGAGCAGCACAGGCTGGGGCTGAGCTCTTGGGAAGCAGCTCTGTGCAGAAGGAGCTGGGGGTGCTGCTGGCAAACAAGCTGCCCATGGCCAGCAGTGGCCAAGGAGGCCAATGGGACCCTGGGGTGCATTAGGAACAGCACTGCCAGCAGCTCACAGAGGTGATCCTGCCCCTCTGCTGAGCCCTGGGGAGGCACATCTGGAGTTCTGTGTCCAGTTCTGGGCTCCTCAGGACAAGAGAGACTTGGAGCTCGTGCAGTGGGTCCAGTGAAGGGCAGCAAAGATGACTGGGAGCGTGCAGCATCTCTCTCTTATCAGGAAAGGCTGAGGGACCTTATCAATGCCTGTGAGGATGTGACAGGAGGCTGTCAGAGGATGGAGCCAGGCCTTTCTCAGTGGTGCCAAGCAATAGGACAAGAGACAATGGGCAGAAACAGATGCACAGAAGTTCCACCTGAACATGAGGAAGAACCACTTTACTGTGCAGGTGAACGAGCACTGGAACAGATTGCCCAGAGAGGATGTGGAGTGTCCCTCACTGGAGATATTCAGGATCTCTCTGGACACAGTGCTGTGCAAGGTGCTTTAGGATGACCGTGCTTTAGCAGGGAGGTTGGACCAGATGACCCACTGTGATCACTTCCAACCTGACCCATCCTGTGCCAAGCTAACAGGTAAATTGTGTGAAGGTGCAGCAGGACATCAGATAGATGATTAGGCTGAAAAGATCTCATGTTCTGCAGATGAAATAAAAAGTAGAGCTTAACCTTGAGCTGAGCGTTGCTGAATTACAGAATTCCAATTCTGTAGCTCTGGTTAACCAGGTTAAGTCAAGTGCCATAAAAATAAGTGCAACCTACATATTACTCACAATTCTCTTTGCCACTGCTTTGCACTAAAAGTGATGTCCTCATATTATTGCTGAAGAGCAGTATTTTTCAATTACAGCATATGGCATGCCCCATTGATTGGTACTCAGAAGTCTGTCCTGTCCTTACCCTTCAGGCAGAACTAAGTGTCAGTCACAAGCATTGAGCAGAAAACCAGTGGGGGAGTTGAAGCTGCCACAGAAATAATCTTGTGGCAACTTTCTGTCTCTCCTCCCTATAAAATATAGAAGAGAAAGGAGCCACTGGGGGATGAGATAAGAGGATTGAAAATCCAGTTCTGGTGTTCTTATGTATGATTGATACACCGGGGATAGCTCCTATCCTAGAAGCGTGCTGTGTATCATGATGCTACTTGCAAAAAGCCTCAGTGTGTATTTCAGTCACTTTCACTGTCACTGAAGGCATTTGCCACTAAAATCATAGAAAAGGTAGAGCTTTACCTGAATCAAATGCTTAGAAATGCAGGTTCTTATGATGGTATGAACTGAACAGCTCTCCTTGTTTTCCTCCCATTTTCATTTTCCTTTAAAAGTACCCAATGAACTGGCTTGCATTATAGACTAATGACCTGCAAAAATTCTACTTAAAGAATGAAACATACATTGTCATCTGATAGATTTTTGTCTGTTGTAACACTGGAAACAGAAAACACATAAAACCAATTGGATCCCACTGATTTCACAGAGTAACATATTTACAGAAGGTGATTTTCACTTGTGCATGAATTTATACTAGGTGTGCAGCTGGTAATTCAAGGATATTTTCAGCTGAACTTTCTACTTTATTCTTGAAAGCATCTCATAAGAATCTGATACCCTAATGATTTTTAAATTTTTCTTCATATGTTAAATTTACACACAGTGAGGCTGTAAAGAATGTACCTTGAGTAGAAAGACCCAAGCATGCTTGGCCTACCTTAAAATAACTTTTTGAGGCTATAAATAGCCTGGAGTGACCCTCTGTGAACACATTAGGACCTTCTGCTGAGAGTGTACTTTCATTCTTATAAATGTGGGAAACAGGATTAATGAATTTTTGCATTCCTGACTTCAGTTTGGCTTTTTAAGAATTGCTAATACCCTAATCAAGAAAATCATATTTTAGAATGTTGTCTTTTTATTGTATCTGAATGTATGATATCCCCTTTGACTACTTCTGTTCTTCTTGTGCTATTTGTAAAGATACTCTCTTAGTTCACATAGAACAAGATCTGGAGCCAAAATAAGTCCTTCTAAATTCTGTGTAATTGGTTTCATGATATGTATTTGGTTTAACTGAAACAGAGATAGATATAACTTAGCTGGACCATAAAATTACATCTTTGATACGGGATTTTAATCTTCCAGATTTTAGTATTCCTAAAAATCCCAGTGGTTCTGTTTTTTAAAATATGCTTGGTGCAGTGAGAAAATGAGAGTTCACAGACTAATTGACCAGTAAATCCTATAGTGAGACTATTACTTCACATCTACAGATCTGATGGAAAATGGATAAACATACATAAATATATTTTTAAAACTCTGACCTCAGCATTTGAAACATACTGCTCCAACAGAATATGGCCTATATATCTTAAATAACTAATATTTTAAAATTATAGGAGTACTTCCTTCATAAGTGGAAAATTTTTGAAACCTTTTTCATTGATTCTGTAATGGGTGGGCATTTGAGGGCTAGGTTAAGATTCTAGTTAAGTGTCTTTATTTTTCCTATTTAGAGCATCCAAAGTGTGTTTTTTGTCATAGGGATAATTTGAACAAGATGAATATATAGATGGAAGGGCTAGTGAACCCATGGGAATGTAATTTAGCAATTAGAGCACGGATCTAGAAAGATGAAATCTTTCATACTTGCTGTAAAGCTTTGCAGTTGAAGGAGCCTCAGAGGAGCTGAATTTACAAAGCAGTGAATTATAGAGATTTCTGTACATGTGGTCAATGAGTTGTATGTTCAGAACTACACACTTCCTAGAAAAACCTTGGACAAAATCTCATGGAAATCCATCCAACCCCACTTTTGAAAAAATTGTCACAGAGGACAAAAGCCTCTTTCAAATCTTAGGAAGAGTGTTTGAAATCTGGTGCAGAGCTATGATGCTCAAAATCAGAAGGCAGCATCTGCTCATTTTTCAAAACTCGGAGGAAGAATGGGAAATTCACTGGAGCATAAAATATCTCATTTGACCTTGTACAAAAAATGCAGAAAAAAACACTTCTAAAAGTATAGGATTAGGGATCGTTCAGCTGGATAGGAAAATGCTGCCATGAATAAAATTCTTACCCAAATCCAAGTTAAGATTTTTTTTTTCATGGTTCTGGGCATTTGAGCACCAGGACTGAATGAATTCCATCCTGCTGTTAATTTTGCTCTATTTCATACACCTCTCATTGCCTGGCAGTGTGTAGAAGTCCAGGGACTTGATTAGGACCATGTCAGCAAGCCACAGGTTGGATTGGGACTTTGCAGCCTCAGTGCTGTTGTTTTGGTGCTTCTGTGCTGAGCAAACTGTCAAGTGGAGGAAGTTTGGAAGTGACTGATCACTTCTGTGCTTACAGGTGCCATGCAAGAGCCATATTCTGTGTTGTGCTCAGGTTAACTTAATTCCCCTGTGAAAGCTGGGCAAGGTATTCAGTTCACAGTCCATTTGACTGTAGCTGTCTGCTTCCTTTTTGCATTAACCACAGTTAGGAAAAACAACTTTAAACTTCCTCTGTAAGTGTCAGTGGAGGCACTTTACAAATGTCAGTCTTCACAGCAGAAAGCATAGCAGAGAACTATATAAGTGACAGTAAATGCACTTTTATTTTAAAAATGGACCAGTAGGACAATGCTAACCCCAAGAGAAATTTCAGCCTATGAGTAGATTTGCCAATAAAAGCAACTAGACAGTTCAGTAAAACTAATTAAATTAATCTGTCATCCCCAGGGAACTTAAACAGGGCATGAAATAGGGAAACAGCATCAATTCAGAGCTTTTTATTGATGTGTTGTGCTGGATCATTTGATAGAATTGGTTGGGAGACAAAATTTGCAATTTTCTATTGATCATAAATTCAGTAGCTATCTCAATGTAGCCTTTATTCAATATGGTATAAAATCAAATACCATACAGAGCCCCTAAATGTAGGAAAAAATCCCAGACATAGAGATGCAAACTTAACAGATTATTTTTGAAATAATAATAACTGATCTGTTTT